TGTGATCTCATGCGACAAATTGGAACTTGTCACCTTGTCCACATTTACAGGGAAAAGAATTGTGTTGCCGATTGTTTGGCAAACTGGAGTTATAATCTGGATTTGGGAATTTGCTTCTTTGATGAGGCTCCTGTCTGGGTTAGCTATCTGTTGATGGATGACTTACTTGGTCTTGCTAGGCCTCGACTCATGTGCGGGGCTTAGTTGTTTTCTGGGGGTTTCCCTTATTTCACCAAAAAAAAAAAAGTAATGCTCGGTATACATTTTCTCCTCGCCTCTTTTTATATATAGCTAACACAAACTCATCCTTTAGCTCTTCTACATAGTGAACGTGACATACTCATTCACTTCCTCTGAGTTCTCAGTTCATGTATTGTCCCTTGTGTGGTATAATTAATTCTATCATTCAAGCTTATCGCAACAGTTCACCCGTTTTTGCTGAAACATTACATTAAGGAGCTAGGTAAATTTTGAAATAGTTGTTTGCCTTCACACTTCAGTTTTTTCTCTCTTTTTTTTTAATCTTTATTTTTTGGTTGGGTGAGCACAAGCACAACACAAGTGGTTCGTTTGACACTTTACTTGAAAACTCATGTTCGTGACCTTTGTAATATTCTTTCTCTATTTTTGGGGATTAAGGGCCTGTTTACTATCTTTGGTTCCATGTCTATAAGTTTTCTTGCTTTTCTTCTTCTAAACCTACTTAGCTTTATTTTGTCCTATTTCTGTATTATTTATTATCTCACAGCACAAATGTATATATATCTTTGTCTCATCTATATATTTTTGGCTTTATGTCTGCAGTCTTTCAAGGTAGTTGTTGCATGGCGTTAGTGAGATAATGAGCATTCGGATTATGGATAGTGCTATCAATTGCTGCTAACTCGAGGTTGGTTTTTCTTAGAAATTTTTAATTTTCTTTATGAACTACCTCTTGGCACATGCTCACGCGTTCATTAATTGACTTTTGTTTCTTCTCTTCTTACTTGTTTTTTTTACCTGATGGAGAACCTTTTAGAGTAAACATGCATTAGTTTATGTATTAAAAAAGAAGAAACAAATGAAAAAACAAAAGAATGTAGTTGTTTAGCAAAATTACTTAACCAAGGCTATTTGAAGGGTTTTTAATGTTTCACTATATATAGATTTCATTTTATGATCATACACCCATTTTCTTAATTGCCTTCTTAATTAAATAAACTTTTTAAGTTAGGAAACTATTGAAGTCAGCTCAGGTGGTGAGAGAATGCAAGGTAATGACAAAGAATTAGGATACATGTAGGTTCAATACCCTCTAACATAAAAAAGGAATGGTGTTTTCTAGAATTTTGAATGCTTCACCCAAAAAAGTTTGTTAATTTTAAGTTAGTAAGGGTCCACTTAAATGACAATGTGGCACACATAGGGACCACTTTATATATATATATATAATGAAGTAGATTAAAATATTAATAAAACATTTGAAATTCAATTTAAGATTAAAAAAATTCTTAAACCAAAAACAATATATTTAAAAACTAACAAATACTTATAATCTGCTTGATAACGATTTCAGTTTTTTGTTTTTATTATTTTTCACTTTTCAATTTTTAGAACTAAAAATACAAAACTTGTTTGGTAACCAATTTTAGTTTTAAAAATAAAATTGAAAATTGTTTAAAAGTTGTCTGATAACTTATTTCAGTTTTATTTGGAACTTGGAATGAAATTTTTTTGGGGTCAAATTGTGAAAAGAGGTCTCGTTTTCAATTTATAAATACTCACAAAAGCACGAATCAAATGTAATGTAGACGTGTAAGAACGAGATTGTACCCACAAGGATTGCATGAAAAAAAAATAGAAAACTAACCCAATCAAATTAATTCAATTACTCACCTAGTTCCTTCTAAGGTTGATTTGTTGGTTTTTTTATTTTCTGTAAAAAAAACATAAAAAAATATATGGAAATGATAATAAACTAAGGTATTAGAATCCACACCACTTTCCCATAAAACTCTAATTATTTACCTATCAATTTCCATGGAGTAGCAATCTAGAAATCAATCTACTGCTTTCTCAAGATATATCAATTAAGCATGCAATTTAATAAATCTTTTGTAAATCCCCTTTCATTCATTGGTAAAAATTCTAAGCATCACATGTAAACAAAATTATTTAACTACAAAGGATCAAAGTTTCCTAAGCATCCTAGGTGAAAAAGGTTATTTGAATGACAAGAGATCAAAGAAAATTGTATTAATAAATCAACCCAATTCTTAACTACCACAATAAAACCAAGGACATATTAATAAATCAACCCAATTCTTAACTACCACAAATATATGATAGAAGTGGTGAAAATAAAGTTAATCTATTAATCACATGAAGCCAAAATTAGTAACATTTTGAAGAATATGATTTATAAATTAAAAGACAATGGTCGAAATACTACAATCGGAACCGCCACCGACACCATTTGGTTTGCCGACTGTCATTTGAAGTTGACCGCTGTCTATGCAGCGGCATCCGAGAGAGAGAGAGAGAGAGAGAGAGAGAGCAGATATGTGCATCAACGACATCAAAGGAAGAAGACATGGTGTGAGGTGGTTGCAAAGAGAGGAGAAGAAGGATGGCCTTGAATAAAAAAGGAGTGCGGCCGCAACTGCGAAGAGAGGAGAAATGGGGAAGAAGAAGATAGGAGAGAGAAAATGAGGTGGAGAAGAAGAAGAAAAGATAGAAAAGGAGAAGGAGAAGAAAATACGGAGAGGGAATAAGAGAGGATGCAGCAGCTTGACAAAGAGATAGTGGCTAGAGAAAATTAGGAGAGAAAGAAGTGTTATGGGTTCACAAAAAAGTGGTGGGCCTGTTTGGGAGTGCTTTTGGGAGTACTAAAATTGCTTTATGACTAACAGAAAGGCTTCTGACACCATTTGGCAGAAAATGTTAAAAGTGCTTCTAGGTCGTGGAAGCACTCCCAAGTGATTTTCCAGTCAGCTCTTGCATTTCTTATGAAAATTTCAACATCTTTATAATAAAAGCACTTTTGCATGAAGCTCTTATGAGCAGAAGTGCTTCCTAGAGAAGAAGTCCCAAACAAGTGGTAGAAGTGCTTCTTTCCAACAAGCAAGTTAAGGGTTTGAGTCTCCTTTGGCGCATAATTTGAAACATTCTTCATAACTGGTTCAAGTCGATTTGTTGGCCGAAACCAAAAATTAAGTGAAAAATCATGAACCAACCGGTTTGGTTTGGTCGGTTTGGCGATCTGTAGATCTAAAATTCTAACCCTATGTGAGATGGGATATGGGGTTGACAACTACGGTGAGATAGAGGGTGAGGGGCCGCAGTTGGAAGTTAGATTGAGGGATGGGGTGTTTGGCCTGATCGCCTAGCGTGGGGTGGGGGTGCCCCTTGAGGTGGGCGATGTCCCTTTAGAAGATAAAGAGGGAAAAAAGGTTTTGTTTGTGTTTTCTTATATTTAATTTGTTTTTAAAATATATTATTTTTAAATTCTTCTTAGAAAAAAAAGAAGCAAGGGAGCTAACCCTTAGGGGGTTTTAGGTTGCTTCGCATGTGCCTTGTTGTACACTCACATACCTGTATGGATTAATCACGAACCCAATAATACACAGCCTACTCATAAGACAAATAGGGTGCCTAAGATTTAAGGACTAGTCTGTATTATTTCAACTTAATATTCTTGTTTGAAATATAAGTAAAACTTCCACAAAAGAACTATTGATTGATCCCATTTAGTAGATTCACCCTCTATCGAGCACATGCATACTTTTCCTAGCGTCTTTACACAAATGACTAAAGAACAATCTTCCTCAAAATTAACCAAACATAAGATGCCCCATTTTTTTATGGATTATCAATACTCAATTAACAATCCTATGGCTATGAACTATATTGACTATGAAGATAAGAGAGCGTCTCATGAATCTAATTAACTTTTTTACTTTCTCTCTATTCATATTCATTGGACTATTGTTTAAGCATCTAATTGTTGATAGGAATATTTCTATCCATAATGATCTTGCCATTAACTTAACTTAATTACTAAGTAAATATATATATATAGGTAATATCCATAAAAGAATACATAAAATGATTAGGTTTTATGGGATATTTTGCACACAATATATAGTGGAACAATATTATAGGTGGCCCTTTGAGCTCGGCTTAACTCATTTTTTAAGTGAGTTTAAGCTCAAATTTAGCCCGAGTTAACATAGTATAGCATGCCCTAAGAATGCATATCCCTAAAAGATTGGTCATCCTTGTGAAGAAAGAAAAATAATGAACATTTTGAAGTACACCAATATAATAATTGGAACATCTTTCCATTTAATTATAAGATTGTAAACGTTTAGGGCCAAACTTTAATGAAACAAACGCAAGGTATCTCATAAAAAAATGTGAGCTGCTAATGAGATTTGTTCACTCGGCACACCAAATCTGAAGCTCAGGTCATTTTAACAAGGGGAGAATTGCATTTAGACCTCCTGAAGTTTGGTATAATTACAGTCAGATCTCACATGTTTCATTTATTACAATAACACCCCTTGTATTAGTAATTCTGCAGTCCTCAAATTTGGTGTCCCCTATGTCCCTTCCCTATTTTCTTGACACATGTTCCATTATTTAACCCCAAATCTAACGGTGTTAACTTTAATTCAAAAGTAAAAATAAAAACTAAAAATTAAACAAACAAAAAATCAGGAAAAGACCCAAATCCTAAGCTTATGAATCTCAATTTGAAGCGCAGAAAAGATTGAAAGTAGGAATTGAGAAGAGAAGTAAGAGAGAGAGAGAGAGAGAGAGAGATACTAGCGGTGGTAGTGGCTGTGGCTGTGGCTGTGATGGTTGGGTGTCTTGAGAAGTTTTTTGGTGGGGGAGGAGGAAGGGTGTTTTTAGATTATGAGTTAGAATTGCTATGAGATTTGTTCGGTTGGGTTTTTGATTGGTTTACCTTTGAATTTTTCATAATCAAAATTGTAGGTGTTGAACTGCAACAGAAAATGGAAGAGATTGGTACTTCAATTGCATCTAAAATTGTAGAAAAACCAGTGGCACTAATTGGGAGACAACTCAGCTATCTAATTTACTACGATTCTAACATAGAAAGCCTAAAGGATGTGCTTAAAAACCTTGATGACAAGAAAAATGATGTGCAAAGATCTGTGGATGCTGCAAAAAGGAATGGTGCAACCATCAAAAATCAAGTTCAAAGCTGGCTGGAGAATGTAAGCAAAATATTTCGTGAAGTGGAAGAACTTGAAAAAAATGTCAATAAGCAAAGGCGGTGTTTGTATGGATTGTGCCCAAGTTTGAAATCGCGGTATTCTCTGAGTAGGAAAGCCAAGAAAATTGCTGAGCGTGTACTTGATCTCAAACTAGACAAAGGACTGAGTAATAATGTTGCCAATCTTGCACCTCTGCAACAACTATGGTCAATAATCTCTAGTGAAGGTTTTAAGGGTTTTGAATCTAGAAAAGATGTCATGAATGATGTGCTTAGTGCTTTGAGGAATGAAAAGACAAGAATAATTGGGATTTGCGGGATGGGAGGTGTGGGTAAAACCACAATGGTGAGAGAAATCATCAAGAGGTTAGAAGGAATGAGTCTGTTTGATGATGTTGTAATGGCAACTGTCTCCGCAACTATTAACATGAGGACAATTCAAACTACAATTGCACAGTCACTAGGTATGAAATTTGTCGATGAAATTGAATCTATAATAGCACAAAGGCTACATGAGAGAATCAAGCAGAGTAAAAGAATCCTGATTATATTAGATGATGTATGGTCAGAGCTTAAATTTCAGGATGTAGGAATCCCTTTTGGCGTTGGACTTACAACTAATCAAGTTCATGAAGGGTGCAAAATTTTGTTGACATCTCGAAATGAAGAAGTTTGTAAAGTAATGGGTTGTAAAGATGACATTTTTAGAGTCCAAGCCTTAAATAAAGAAGAAGCATGGAAGCTTTTCAGGGCGACTGCAGGTGAATCCTTTGACAATGATCCTGAGTGGCTTCGTATTGCAGAAATGATTGCAGATGAATGCAAAGGTTTACCCATTGCTATCGTAACTGTTGGGAAAGCTCTTCTATCAAGTAATGGAAAACATGAATGGCTTACTGCCTTGCACGAACTGAAAAATTCTGTCCCAGAAAACATCCCTGGGATGGAACACAATGTTTATTCTTGCATAAAATTGAGTTATGATAAATTGGAGAGTGATGAAGTCAAGTCATGCTTTTTATTTTGTTGCTTATTTCCAGAAGATTATGATGTTCCCATTGAGTATTTGGTGAGGTATGGGTCGGGTCGAGCAACTTTTAGAAACACCAACACAGTCGAAGATGTAAGAAACAAAGTGCATTCTTTCGTTGGACAACTAAAAAGAAGGTATTTGTTGCTGGATAGTCTCGAGGAAGAGTGTATCAAAATGCATGACATAGTCCGTGATGTTGCTATATCAATTGCCTCAAAAGATCCTCACAGATTTATGGTAAGATCATTTGATGCTAAAGGTGGTGGTGGAGGACGACCAGGAGTACAAAAAGTTACAAACCAAGAACATTGCAGTGCAATTTCGTTAATTGATTTTAAATTGGATGAAAATATTATTGATGGTTTGGAGTGCCCAAAACTTGAGCTTCTACAACTGAAAAATTCCTCAAGTAGTTCAGAATATTCCAACTACTTTAAAAGGATGAAAGAACTCAAGGTTTTAGCTTTCTTAGAGGTGAATATGTCAAGTTATTTGGCCTTGGAAAAATCTCTACTGCTTGGGGAACCCAAGTACCTTCATACCTTGTGTCTAGAGGATTGCATATTGGGAGACATATCACATGTTATTGGAGGATTGGAGAGTTTGGAGATCCTCAGCTTTGCTCGCTCTAAAATCAGTAAGTTGCCTATAGAAATCGGACATCTTCAACGGTTAAGGATGCTTGATGCAACAGATTGTAAAAGACTTGAAGAAATTCCTCATGGTGTCTTATCCAACTTGAGGAGATTAGAAGAGTTGTACATGGCAGAAAGCTTTCTCAATTGGGGGCCAGCAACAGGAAGCAAGGATGAAACGAGCCTGGCAAGCCTTGATGAGGTGATGTCTCTATCTGATCATTTAAATGTCTTAGCCATAAAAATCCCTGATGTTCAGATGTTGCGAAATGATGAGTTTCTTTTAAAAAGCCAGCCTATAAGATTTCATGTATCTATCAATATTAGTTGGTCATACGAAGAGGAGAGTTTCGAGAATCAAATGCCTGGTTATTTGTTCGAAAATAGTTTGATGCTTCGTGGTGATGTAAAGGAATATTTGGAGATTGGGGCAGTTAGATACTTCTTGAAGCAATCTGAAGACTTAAGCCTACACCACACATACAATTTAAAGTATGTCATCGAGGAGTTAGATGGTCAAGGAGGCTTTCAACACTTGAAAGTGTTATCAATCGATTATGACAACGACATAGAGTATCTTCTAAATGGAACAGATTGGACTCATCGTGGTCAACCTGCCTTCCCCATCTTAAAGTCAGTTACCCTCGAGAATATTTACAAACTAAAAGTTGTATGTCGTGGCAAACTGCCAGACAAGCACTCCTTTATGAACCTAAGATCCATTCATATTGACCATTGTTGTGAGTTAAAATATGTCTTTTCACTATCCGTAGCACAAAACTTGGTACAACTCCAAAGCTTAAATGTTGAACACTGTGATGAAGTGGAACAGATCATATCAAAGGAGAGAATGGAAGCTAATAATGCATCTCACATGATAACTTTCCCAAGATTAACGGTTTTGAAGCTTTATAATCTACCCAAGCTCCTTGGTTTCTACACGGAAAACCAATGGGACTCCACCTATGAGGTATGTCTGTATACACTTTTGATGCTTGAATGGTATATACCTATTACTCTTTGGAATATGCTGCTTTTGTTGTGCTTGATATTGTTGTTCCAGTTCTCGAAGTTGATTTGGGTTGAACTTACTCATTTTTGGTCTGTTGGAGGTTTTAGATGCTTTTCAAATTTTTGCAACTATTTTATAGATATTCAATAAAAAAATTATCTATGAAAAAGTCACTTGAATCAGATATCATTTGACCGCTTAATTAAAATATTGTGATTTTAAGGCAATTTGGAAATAAGACAAATGTTTATTGGTAATCTTGAGTGGTGGGGAAAATGTTTATTGGTAAATAGTAATTGAGGGAAATAGTGGGTAGGAAAAGGATTTCCCAAAATTTATGACAGAGGATGTGGGAATATAATTAAGGCAATTTGGAAATAAGACAAATGGTGGAAGTTGATTACTTATGTATTTCTTTCTTTTTGGCTCATGTGTAAGTTCATTATTTATGTAGAATTAATTAATGTACAGATTATAAAGCCCAATGATGAAAGTGTGAACAAGATGAAAGAGACTAGGAATGACAATCAAGTTTCTGGGTCGACCTCATCTAAATCAAAAGTAGTACAAGTGGGAGCAAGTTGTAATGCACTATTTCCTTCAAATTGCATTTCATGGTTACCAAATCTAGAGGAGCTAGTAATGGTCTATTTGATAAGAGAGCAACAATCAGAGGACTCTTTGACAAGCGAGCAAGGGTCAAAAGAAAACAATGAACCAGTAGTCAATGTGGTATTTGATTTAGAAGGGCATGACTCAGCATTTTCTCAATTACAGACATTTAAAGTGCAGTATTTAAATGAGGTATGTATGTGTTTGTTTGCATGTGATTTTCATAGCGATTTTAGAGTGCCTTGGATTGCATGGAGGTAAGTAACTTGAAGTTTAGAGCATGTACAACTAGAGATGCTACCTCACGTGAGTAAAATATAGTAGGAACTCATAGCACAGATATCACGTGCTAAAATTCATGATAAGCAACTAGCCACGCCATCAGAAACAAAAAAATAATTAAAGAATCACGTGCCCTGATCATGGGTCCAATATCACACCACAGAGCTACTCAGAAAACAGCTTTATTCAGACCAAAAAAAAATAGCTTTATGATATGACCCATGCGCCGTGCTACTTGTTTTCTTGTTACTAAAAATAAAAAAATAACAATATATGTACCACAACTATTGCTTTATGATATGACCCATATGCCCCAGCTTTAGGATATTAGACATTATTTATAATATTAATTCTATGCATTACTCAAATTTGAATTTATATGTCGTCTATTAATCTCATAACACATGAGCAAACGAAGGCGTGACTTTATTTTAGTACCATCTAATAATTTCTCTGTGGAAAGAGCAAAGGAGTCGAACATGAAGTTGTCGCCTTTATGAGTAATATGTGGAAGCCACTCACTGATTTATTGAGCTGTCATCAAATAACACTATTTTTCTTCTTTTACATCACAAGGAGCATTTGTGGAAGAATGTTCAACCTGGATTCCAAGGTTTTCAAAATGTAAGATCTTTAACAATTGAAGGATGTGACTGTCTAAAATATCTATGCCCCTATGAAATTTACAAGCTCCTTGTGAATCTCCAAGAAGTCGAAATATCCTCTTGTGATAACATGGAAACTATAGTACTGGAAGCTGCTTCCACAGAGGACAATATCCATGAAGAAGGGAAAGAGACAGGTGGCAGTGGCACGAGAACTTTGTTTCCCAAACTACTCAATAGCTTATGTCTAAAGATTTTGCCAAGCCTCGAGAGATTTTGCCCTGATGCCTATTCTTTTGCATGGTCCTCCTCCACGAGAACTATGTATGTGAGAAATTGTCCCAAATTAAAGACATTGAGTTTTGCACCAGTAAGCAAAAAGCTGCCTGCAGCAGTTGTAGAGAATTTGAGTGATGATCATGTAAGAGATAGAGAAGAATCAGGATCTGGATGTGCATCATCAACTGGATCTGGATCTGGATTTGGATGTGCGCCACTAGTTTGCTTACAAAGTCGTCCATCTACTCGCAACTTTACTCAAATATTGTCCCGCCCTGTAAATAGAGAGGTACGTCATTATTCTAAAGATATTTAGTGTCTATTTTGTGAAAATTGGTCTTAGGTACAGATGTCATTGAAGATAAAATATAAATAAAATAAAAAAGAAAAGTTAAATGGGCTTGGCCCAAGAACGACCCATGACAATTGTAAACACTTGTTCATTTTCATTTGGGAAATGATCACCATTATTTTCGCAAACAGTCTTATTAATATCTAGAATGTGATAATATACAATAATTAAACTGCTTAGTTAAACAATAAACAATACTGGTAACTTCTTTGTATATGAATACTGGTAACTTCCATAGTTCAACAATAAACAATTCATTTTTCTTTTTTAAACAACGTTCTTGATTTCTAGAATGTGATAATATCCCATATGTTTATGATTGAAACACTAACAAATTAATTTACAACTACTTTTCTACCATTTTGCCAGGTTACGCCGGCAAATCTTCAGACCTCAAGTGCTAGGGACAATAATCTAGAAGATCTGCATGTAAAACATTGCGATTTATTGGAAGTGATATTTTTGGTTCAGGAAACCCCTTCTACTCAAGCATTTGATAAGCTGAGGAAATTGAAGTTGTACCGATTAGCAATGCTGAGCCACATATGGGAAAAGGGTTTACAAGTTAGCTCAGGCTTTGGAAACCTGAGATTCCTAGACGTACGGCGATGTGACAATTTGAGATACTTGTTTTCACCACACATAGCCAAACTCCTTACCTGCCTTGAAACAATAGAAGTTTCCGATTGTAATGCGATGGAGAAAATTGTTGGCGAGGCTGAAGGAGAAGGAGAAAGTATTAAGGATGAATTGACATTTCCGCACGTGAATTCTATTGAACTTGAGGATTTACCCAAACTTGAATCTTTCTGCTCTCAAGCTTATACTTTGAAGTGGTCGTTAGCCTTGGAGAAAGTCAGGGTTCGAAATTGTCCAGCATTAAAAGCGTTTGCTCCTTTTACCAACAAAAAAAAAAAAAGCGTTTGCTCCTGAGTCTCTATATGTATAAGCAGCCGACATGTGTCTATAAAGCGTCCACGTGGAAAGAAAAGAAGGTACGTTTTCAATTGAACCAAGCACTATGGTCGGTCACTATAAAATCAGTAGAAGATATATATAGCTTAATATATTTTCATGAATTGGCGTTGCTTTTTATTTTTCCTTGCCTTATCTTTCTTATGTCATTAGTCCATCTCCACATTTATTATTATTATTATTTTTAAACTTCTTTTCAGGATTTACTATTGTTAAAGCATTAGAGAATAATTTCTATACCATAATTTTGTCTCTAATTGGCACAGTAAAGCCATAAACCCCTGATAACACAAATGTAACTCAATAAAAATTACACTAATTTACTTATATGCTTAGGAATTAGGCTTTTAATTGAGCTCATTCCCATGATAGTACTCAACTTTACAATATACGCCTATCATGGACTATAATACAAAATAATCTCTAATCATAATAAACGCTTAAATCTAAACTCTCATGAACTATTTAATAAAAAATAAAATAAAAATTGGATTGATTTGAAATGTCTATATATGGCTCGTGAAAATGGTTCTAAGGATGGTATCATATTTTAAAGTAGTACTTAACCATTAATATTTGTCCAGTAGCATTATATCCATTACATGCATTTTCTATTTTAATCGTAGATAATAATTTGTTATTCTTTATTTTGCATAATCTTTGAGAAGAATATCATCAGAAGCCAAGAAGCTAGGGACAAGAAGACTACATGATATGTTGCGGTGCATATCTACAAGATACCATGACATACCAATTTCGTTATCGTCGCTTTCTTTGTTAATGTTCCTCATATCCATATCCTGCCACTGCATCTCTTTGATCAGATAATTTAGTTATTATGTTTAGTTGTATTATAAAACTGGATTTATTTGGACCTTCCTTTTCATATGTAATATTACCATATTGAATCTTTGGACGTTTGGCTCAACTGTTGGTAACTAGTTAATCAAATTACAAGCATGATAGTTTTTAACTTATATAGTTTAATTTGGGGCAAGTGGATGTATAAATTAACCAAAGTTGTTAATAGAAAGATCCGTGTAACTCATTTTTTGATAATAATAAAAAATCCAATTTTAAAATATATTACCATATTTTCTTTTATGTATCCATCTAACGGCCAAAAAAATATATGATCTGAATAACGCTAAAAACATGGCCGTATATGCAAACTACACAAACATGAAGCGACCAGAAACATGGCCTGCATGATGTGATGTGATGCAATGTAGTGTAGTGTAGTCATATTTAAATTTCAATTCAAATTGAAGTATATGTATCTAAATTTAAATCTATATATACTAAATGACTTACTTTATTATCATGTTGATTGGTTATATAATGAAAGATGATTTTATTTGTGATTTGCATGCTAATAGATGCTAATAGATAAAATTAAAAATTAAAAAAATGTAAAAATAAACTTAATTACAATCAACGCCACCCCACCTTAATATTTTGTAAACAAACGTTTTAATCCTTCATTTTTTTTTTTTGGTTACGATTTTTTTGTAAGCATGTTTTTGGAGTAGAAGTGCAGGACCAGGCCGGAGAATTTTGAGTCCCAAGGCGACGTTGGAAATAGACCATTTGTATATATAGCTCCACACAAGAAAATTTAATTGATTTTATTCGAGCATGTGTATAGAATATTAAATTAAAAAAAATTTGGGCTTCAAACACAAATCTCATTTAATTTTTGCACGTAAGAAATAATTGGGGACAAAAAATAATGGTTGAAGACAAAAAAATATTCAAAGACTGAAAAATTATTGGGCCCTCTATTGAGTCGTGGCCCAGGGCGATTGCACTCCTACCCTGGCCCAGGGCATGGTTAAGCTTCAGTTACAAAGCTAAACAACTGATATAAATCAGTTCTGCATTGTATAATTGAAAATCAGTAGAAGTAATACAGAACCGATTCTCTTTCTCTCTCCAGTCGTCTTCTTTCTTACTTCACAGCTTTATCTTTCTACAACTGTTATCATAAATGTGTTTCATAAAGTTTTATTTCTCTAGAAAAGATTTGTCGATATTCATGAAACAACAACACACATTATGCACATAAAATGAACTAGTGAACCTACGTGACATTAGTTTACTGTAGAATTTTATGTAATTTTTCTATTTTTTTTTCCGATCAGGTAACATTTCTTAAAAGTTAAAATCTCCTGTCATATATAACTATTCCTTGCTTAATTGCCACATATGACTATTTCTTGTCATATTGGCTTTGTATATTGTCAATACAATTCTTACCGCAATTCCAGATAGTTTAGTAAACAACTTTGATTGGATTCTGTATTCTGATTCATTCTCAATCCAACTCATCATCAATCAAATTCCGCCTCACCCAATTACGAATTAATAAACATATCATAAAAAGAGTTCATTTGATGAAATATTCAAAATATTATGTGTAAGATCCCAATTATTCTCAGTGAAATTTGTATATGATTGGACCGACTGCAAATGCATTGATGAACTAGTTTTGTGTTCAAGGCTTTAGTATTGGGGAGACAAAAAGAACAAGTAATATACAAAGCCATTTAGTGGATAATGATTATATCTTATCTTTGAACCCAATACATCATGGCAGTGGTGGAAAATTTAATGAAACATATTCCACCACTATTTATTTAGAGAATACACAATCATGCTCTCTACTTTTTTAGTTAAAATTTAGTTAAAAACATATAAAAATTATTTTATAAGTTCTTTATAAAATTTAAACTTCAATCATGCTCTCTAGTGAGCTCTGACATCTTCCTCCTCACCTTTCTCTTTTCGATAGAATTTTCTGTTTACAGGCTGTGCTTTTGATACGGGTGTGCGCGTATTCGATACAGCGCCGATACGGTCACGATACGTCGAGGGTAAAAGCGAAAATATTTTGACATTTGGGGGTGATTTTGAAAGTTACTGAATATTTGGGGTTAAAATGTAAACTTGAAACTTAGAATTTTAAAGACCCGGCCTCTGTCGAGAGGCTAGGTCTTTTTGGCGATTCAGACGGCAACCAAAAAAGAGGAAGAAGAAGGAAGAAGGAAGAGAACCCACCAGCAATCGCCGCCGCACCCAGCGCCGTTGAACCCATCGCCGTTGAACCCATCGCCGTCGCCATCTCAGATTCATCTGGTTCGGAGGGTTTCTTACGCAGCTCAAGGTTTTTTTCCTATTCTTTATAAATTTGCATTCTATTGATATTCCACATTTTTAAATTTTTGTCTGTTTCTTGTTCTGTTTGGCTTTAATGTTTTTGGTGCTTGCTTCCATAATTTATAAGATGGTATAATTCTGCATAAGAGAATCCTTAGTTACAGGGCATGACATAATATTAATAGGTTGAACGTGTAGTGTTTTGAAAATTTTCCTAAATCTACAATGACCGTACCAATGAACACATTCCTTTTCCTATATTTCTATACTTTTTTTTTAAACACATTCCTTTTCTTTTTTTCTATTTTTGGCTAAAATTTGTTTCTAGAACACCTGAATGTTCTTCAGCATTTGCCCCAGTTGTAATTATGGTTTTGGTTGTTTCCTTTATAAACAGACAGATGGAGGGCCGTTTTGCTGAGGAGCTCTACTCAGAAAGTTTACAGCTATCAAAACTACAATTGGATCCTACATCCAATGCGAACAGTGAACAAAGTAATTTACATGGTATTTAAATGGTTAAAAGCACTTTGTTTTTCTGTATAACAGTGATCAATAGATGATATTTGGTTTGCCTCCTTTTTTATTTCTTGTTATTGCCAGCCTTAGGTAGGTAAATGCATAGTGTTAACTGGTGAACCCACTTAGTTTTTAAAAAAAAAATTAAAAAAAACCAAATTGTTTATTAGAGCCTAAACAACATTGTGTAATTTGAGCCTCTGCTATAGATTCCTTCATTCTTTGCTACAATAAGGATACTTGGTGAGCTACATAAATCTTTGTTTTCCTTAAAGCTTATCACATTCAAGAGTCAAGACACTCTGGATAAGAGTGTATTCTTATATTTGCATCTAAAAATTTACATTTACCCTGTAACACTGTAGTAAATGTATATCAAAGAACTCCTTTTTATCAAAACACATCTATGCTCTGTGAAGTGGACACACTGTAGTAAATTTACAAGCATATGCGCTCTGTGAAGTGGGCATTCTGTCTGATACTAGTTGACTGAGGAAGTTAATATTTACAACAAAGTTAACTGCTGTAGTCTTTCTGTTTTCTGTACTAAGAAATCTGTTTAATGTTTTGCAGACCTTGATAAGGTTGAGTTGTGTCATGAAGATGGTTCTTGTGATGGTTTTTCTGATGAATTAGATGACACATCTGAGGTGACGGGGGAGTGGATGAAGATAGAAGAGAAAACGAGATATAACCAACACCATACGGTTGTTTGACTGTTTGGATTTAATTTCATTATTAGTTGTGTTTAGTTGTTTTACATGCATAATTCAAGTGGTTCTCTAATATATATTCTAACTACTTATAAATATGTAGGTGGGTTACCGTGAGGGTGTTATAGCAGGAAAAGAAGCTTCTTCACAAGAGGGATTCAATATCGGCTTTAAGCAATCGGTCCTTGTTGGATACAACTGGGGTCTTGTCCGAGGTGTTACAAGGTAGAAAAATAATGTAAAGAAAAGAATTTTGTTACAGTAATTTCTCTCTTGCAGAAATCTGTGTATTATTTGGAATTTATCTATATCTTATATTAACTATATTTTCATTACCCGTGCTGGTGTATCTTCAACCTACATGAAGTGCTTTGGCTAACCTTCCAGATGGTTTAAGGGAGAAGTTGATTGGAACAGAAGACCAAATAACTGGATTGCAGGGATTGTATGAATCTGTGCATTCTCTTTCAACAACAGACGCCCTTAGATTATTTAATGATGAAATCATGGACAAAAAAGCTAGAGAACAGAGAGAGAATGCTGACACCAGTTCCCTTGAAGCTGGTTTGGCAGAGCAAATACCAGACCGTAGTGGTCTAAGAAATCACTTTGCAGAACTACGTTCGCTTCTACTTGAATCTCCTGCAATTAAAGTAAATCTAGATAGGTAGGAAATTAGTGTTATAATTTTTATTTGATATTTGTAATTAAAGTCTGAAAACTTTTGCTCCGCCGCTAGCCCCCGGTCCTATTCTGTCATAGGAATTATACATTTGAGAAACGTTGTCAATTTCTTGACCAAGAAAAGAAAAAAAGAAACGTTGTCAATTTGGTTTGTAATGTTATGTATGATCTTGTTGTGAATCTTATTATGAGGGACGATGGTGTGAGGAATCCCATCATCATTTTTGCCCTATTTTTCTGTTACAATGTGATAGTAAAACCGGCCATTTCGGTATAGAAGCAATGTACAATCTACTTTACAGTAGTTGTAGCATGCATGAGCTGCTTTAAATATGTTTGCTCCGTCATTTTTGCTAACATGGGCATTGGAGATGAACATAGGAATCAGTTGACACTTCACATCAATACTAAACGACCATACCCGCGGTGGCGAGCAAGGTATGGATCAAATAACATCCAATTGTAGCAACTCAACACGATACGTATTAAAACTGTCATTACAAATATTGCTAACGAAGGTACATTAGTAGTACATCCACTGAGCTTAGGAGAAACAACATTACTGTGTCCACAGTTTAACCCCCATTCAAATCATCACTGCAAGAAGCTGCTTCCTTCCTCTCCAGAAATCCAGACTGGAGCCGAGAAATGGTCAGTTGTTCTGCTGGTCCCGTAGTTTCTCTTGTGTTGCCGGCTGTATAGATACCTCCTAATTCAGTGACTTATTATGCATATATTGCAGTCTTTTAACCTGCATAACAATATGAGAATTAATTCCCTTTCTTTTTAGAAACCAACAATATGAAGTCATGAATAGCTATAAGAATCAAATATCAGAAGGTCTTGGAGTTTGTGATTATATATTAACCTCAGTAACTGCCATCAGCTACAAGCTTGCATAGGCCTTGCCTGATTGAAGGCTGCTGAAGTATGCCTGCGACTTGTTTCACATTTGGGCACTGGCATGACCGCTTCGAAAGCTTCAACAAGCAATGCCACTTTCTTCTTCCTCGCTGGAGCAAGTTTTGTTACAGCCTGTTGGAGTGCAAAGTCAAGCATCCACTCCTCTGCATTTTTCTTTTCGTCCATCATCTGATGCCTGAGGTCAACCTTTTCTGCTTCAGGATCAGGAACCACAGGCAGATAATTTGGTTCTCTTGGATTGTACTTCCTTTGTTCCTCCTCCACGCTAAGTCTCTTGAATTTGCTTCCTCTTCGGTAGTTGCAGGTGTCAGGAAGTTCTTGGTTGGAATTGCTTTCTCCATGGGAAAATTTTCTCTTCAGCCCAGGGCTAATACCATTATTGGCCATGAAAGTTTCTGTTGCATCTGGCTCTGAATTGTTTTCCACTTCCATATCGTGAGGTTCTCCTGTGCTGTTTTCTGAGGGACCTGATCTGTTGTTCAGCCTTAAATCACCCTGATCCTCAGATTCAATGGAAGTTGAAATTTTTGGCTTCTTGTACTTCCCTCCAGACTGGTTGCCAACTTCAGCACTATCATTAAGCTGGAAGGGTTCAGTCTTCTTGCAGTTTTCATGATCTTCAATCTTGAAAGCATCTTCATCAGAAAGCTGGATTTGTTCTGATGATTTGGAGTCATCAGCTTGCTCTGTCTCTTCCATTTGATTCCCAGCAACCATTGCAGTGAGTTCCTGTGACAAGACAGCGTCACTGGTTGCAACATTTTGATCTGTTTCCGAATTCTCTTTATCCAGGCTCCCGGTGCATCCTTCAATTGTTTCAGCCTTATCTGTTTCCCTCATATTCTTAGAGGCATTAAAAACTTGGTCTCCTGTCAATGTACTTATTTCATCATCTTGAAATGTATTTTTGGGTTGGTTACCTGAAGTTTCATCTGTCTCCACATTGGTGCAGTTGCTTTCAACATCTCCAAGGCAAGAATTGATGTCATGATCCTCTGCTTTAACTCCACTCTGCTCTTGAATTTCCACACCAGTTTCTGTTAGCTGCTCAATCGACTCCTCTGCTGAAGATGAAGATAACTCTCTGCAATCTGTCTCTGATAGGTCACTGTCTTCTTCGAATGCATCATCGCTGTAAGAAAGTTGGTCATAACTCAATCTGTCATACCCTTGTTCAGATTCTTGAATCTCAAAATTCTGTTTAGTGTCATCCCGTTCACTGCCGCCACCATCGTTGAGTTGTCTCTCAAAAGACTGGTTTTTCTCTTCCAAAAGTCCTTGCAGTACTTCATAATAATCCTCTATCACATCAATGCAGTTACCAGAAATTGCATCAGACTTGATCAGAGGTTCTTCATGCATATCAGCATCTCGAATTATTGATGAAAACCCAGCATTTGGACCAGACTCATAATCATCAAGCACTCCAGTGGACAATCGCCCTTCCTCCCACTCCATGTCAGTAGTTGTGGAACTGGCATAATGCACTTCGATGCTTGAAAGTTCTTCAAAGTCGCTCTCATTCGAACTGCTTCCCATGGTAGCTTCTTCTTGATCCAACAGAGCTTTGTAGTATTCATCTATATCTTCTTTTTGGTCTTCTTCAGCAAAGCCTTCAAAGCTTTCTGCCTCAGAGTCACTCTCAGACTGCGGTGATCTATCCGACAGATTCTCCTCAACTAGGGTGTTCGCATTATTTTCTTCTGCTGCTTCACCACTTGCATCATTTGGTTCACCGTTGGAATCATCTTGTTCTCCTACAAGATCAGCTCCAGCTTCCCTTCCAATTTCCTCAGCATCGTCTTCCTTGCGTGTAGCATAGATTTCAACAAAGAAATCTTCATGTTTCATAGGATCAGCATTTTTGTCATTGTCATCAAACAACATCCTCTGCAAATCAATTTCTTTTACTCCATCATTAGATTGCTTCGCTCCACGTGGACTTAGAGCTTGCAGCTTCATCATCTTCTGGGTCTTCAACGAACGTCTTTTTGCAGACAAGAAACACTTCAATGGAGGCACAGGTGAATGATGATGACCATTGAGAGAACAGTAAGTGTATGGGCAAACCTTCATGACTGAAGTCCCCTCAGCTTCAGTTCCCCCAGGATTAATCACCAGATAATCAGGAAACTTTGTATCCTTAAGTGTTGAAGAACAAGTTGCTCTCTGAACATTCATATCTGCAC